ACAAAGAACAGAAACAGTATTCTGGTTTCATTTTGGTTTCAGATATTTTCAGGAATTAGAACTATGCATATACACCTAGCCTCTGAATGACACCAGTCTTGTTAATGGGACTGAGAGCTCTAATATTTGCCAAATGTCATTTTCTGTGTGCTTATTTTCTCAAGTCTTTCTCATGCGATTATTTTACAACTAACACTTTCTGGTACTCTCAAATCTGGCAACATTTTGGAGCGCAGCGTGCAACCATCACCTGAGAGACACCAGTAGCACTCAGATTCAGTTACGTGGTACTCAGTGCAGGACAACTCCTCAGACACAAAAGGACACATGGAAGGTTTCTGAGCTTTGCTGAATGTTCATCTCAATCCTACAGGCAACCTGGGCCACCACTATCTTTTTTTCTTTTATCATAATCACTTGGGCTCCTGGGTAATTGGAACAATTAGGGTGATTAATTGCATGTTTGCAGTAAAAACATAATACTGGGAAGGGTTACATTACAGGCTAAATATTTTCAGAAAACTCTATCAGCTGGTAGACATAACAAATGCGATCAGTTCAATGCAACATGAAGCTGTGCATGTTGTGCAAACTGGTTTGCTCTGGAACTCAAATCTCCTTAAAAGAGGCCAAAGTGTTTAAAAAAATAAACTAAGTCAGAGTGCATAGGGGGAAAAGAAATATTGACATGTGAGGCCACTGCACTTCTAACATAAAGAAACACTGTTTTCCCTTTGGTCCTTTTATTGTCTAAGTAGAAAGTGCAAGGCATAGTAGAAAGCACACAACAAGACCAAGTGCACAAGTGAAGTAATGGATTGCATTGAAAGGAAAATCAGAAAAGCTCACAGCGGGATACCTACAATACTGACACATTCCTTAATGACAGCAAGAAGGCAAGCTGACCTGTCTGCCACTGCAACTGCAACTCTGAAGATTTTGGAGAGGGATGTCAAACCCCAGAACAGAAGATAGTCACACTGGAAGTTCATTTATTGAACCCTTACTTAAAGATCTGGGCTTTCATCTTCTACTCATCACTAAGCTGTTGCAATGCTGCAACCACAGCCTCTTTCTGGATGCTGTGAACCCATTTGGTCTCCACAGATCCACTTTAACTGAGGGGAACATGAGTATTCAATCAGATATATGTTCCAAAGGACAAACTGGAGTCAAGAACCAACGCTGCCTACACCTGCTCTTAAAGATGTGCCATTGCCAGTGTATGGCTGATAGCAAAATTCCATGTGAGGGAGTGGATCACTTGCATTTCTCACAACCAAGTCAAACACAACTCGTCTATCTCAGTGTTGTCATCTGGCCACAATGCTGCCTTCTAAAGATGATAGCTGCCAATAGTGTGTGATAAGCTCAGATGTGCTCTGCAGAAGTGTTAGAAATCCCTCATCATCATGTCAGCCTGCACTGAGTTGGGCGGACTGCTTTCAGTTCAGGAGCCACAGCTCTTTGAAGCCCAGGGAAGTCTGCTCCACACTCTGCCCTGGGGCACCTCAGTCCAAAACACTTCATCCTGTTCAGCATTCTCATCAGTTGTGTCTAACATTCTGCTGAGTCTTCGCCAGTCTATTCAGTGAGGTGTACTATAAAATTTCTACATAAATAAAAGGCTAGCTTCTTATATTGCTCACACTACCACAGAGGTGCTTCGTTACTAGGAGAAAGAAGTGAACAGTGAAAGGTTTTATGTTCTATTTGCATGATTGGAGACTTTGTGCTTTTCACAAGGAGTGGGTCAGAGGGCAGGAACACCCTGTTTTCTTTCCAGCATGAAACTGATGTTTATTAGATGAGTGTTTTGTTCTATTTTTTTTAAGTTGATTACATTTTAACTCAGTTCAACAATGCTGGAAAACCTGACAATATTCCAGAGCCTTTAATCAATGACAACATAATGGAAAAAATGTTTCAAGTTTTAAATAAGAGCATATTGCAACCCTAGTATGCTCTTCATGTCAGTAGGTTTTTTTTATTCCAGCCACTGCCAAGTGTTCATGTCTGCATTGCTGAAATCTGTGCTAAACTTTTCTCTTTAGTTGAGAAAAGTCTTCTCACATGCCAGTGTTCCCTGCAGTTTTTAGTGGAGAAACTGCCTTTTATTTTTAACTGTGAAGTGTCTATCAGGCTCATTAAAAAGGTAAGAATTTGATAGTTTATGAGAATAGATGGTATGACTGTGTAAAAGAGGTGTGGGGCCAGAGAAGAGTGTCAGGCTGAAAGTTGCTCTGTCCTGCCATCAGCCACATCTATATATGTTCAGTGTTTAGACATCCATCCTCTCTTTTGTTAGTCTTCTCACTGAAGCACAGTAATTAGCTTTGAATTTGCTTCCTATAACTACAGGTTGTTACTTCTAAACCCAAATAGAATTGTTCCTACTGGGGAAGAAGCATCCTCCTCCAGCTCACACTAAACTTTGCATTCAAATATCCAGTTTGCCATGGTCACACTAACTACAAACAAATAGTCTAATCACTGAAGAAAAGACAGAGAGCTGAGAGTCCATTTCAATTACACACTGACTGTGAAAAAAAAAATAAAAATTAAAATGTTTCCATTGTCATCTTGATTACTATCATTATCAGGAGAAAGCAGAAGCTTGCTTAAATCAAGGTCCAGAAAAATGAATCAACCCCTACTTCAGTAAGAACTTATAGACAGTATAGAATCCTAAAATAGTGAATAAAACAGACTACTTGATATTCACATATACAAGAAAAATAAACCACCTATGGGAAAAAAATACACCTTATTTTCCTAGTCAGGACATTAAAACCAGCTTCAATTAGTTTATGTTAACTCAGGCAGTTCATACAGTCTTACCTTTGAGAAAAGTCACTTCTGATGCTAGAAATTTGCTATAGTAAGGTATCATCCTGGTCTCTTCACTTCGGTCACTGCTCAGGAGGAAAGCAGTCAGACTATCCCATCTAAAAGTCTGTTCATTCTACCTGCTGAAACTTTGCAATGCTTTGAGGTTGTAGTTTCGAGCTTCTTTACCACCACAAACAGAATTCCCAGTGAACATCTTGCTTTGATGGCTCAGACTCCGAGTTAAGTAAAATACTTGCACAACAGAGCTAGAGAACTAACCCCACATCCAAATACTCATGCTAATCAAAGCACTGGAGGAAGCCTCAAAGCACGAAAACAGATTTAATCTTCTTCTTGGCTTGATATAAAATGGAGAGCTGTGCTGTCATAATTCAACCGCTTCTCATGTAAGATGTAGCTCACTTGCACTCAAGTCAGACACTTCTGACCTGCATCAATTCTGCATGTGTCCTCTAGTGACTCTGTCCTGCTCCTACTGAGAACCTCAACATCGTCATACATGTGTGTTTTATGTTTCTAACAAGGAATCTGCTCCAGAATTTTCATTGGAAAAACGTTCCTGGAATATTCTAACTAAACCTCATACACTCTTCTTTGCAGAGAAGACTTAGAATTTTGCATTCTGGATTGCTTGCTGCTTTTCTTCCACAGAATGAACATCGTTGCATGGTTCAAAGCCAATATTCTGACCATAGTTCAATACATAATTTTATTTACATTTTTCACAGTTAGCATGTGCTTTTATTGCCTCTGACTGCACGTCCCTTTGAAAAGAACTAAATGCAACAGATGGAATACTTGCCCAAGTTAACTCCAACCAACAAGTCACTTTCTTTGAATGTCTCTGATTTCTTAGTCAAATTTGTATTTCTAAATTATGGCTCTGAGTTTGATCAAATGCAAAAGCAGCTCTATCTGAAGGGAGAAAAAGTTCATCTCGAATTGAAAAAAATCCATATTCTAGAAAAGCTGCGCTTGAAACTATCAGAGTCAGACAAACATTTAGAAAATCATGCCTGGCTTTACTTAGCAGGTGTGAGGCACAGAGCCATCCTGATTCAACCTCAACCACTGCATCACCCCGCTGCCCAAATCACCAACAACTAGCTTATGACACCAACCAGAAATCTACTAAAAAGCTGTATGACTTCAACACTGTAATGATCACTAATCACACTGGCAAACGTGAGCTTAGAGCTTACAAGCTAGAAACAGTAAAAAAAATACTAAAAAAAAATTACTCTTTTCCCTTCAGTTACAGAAATAAATTTATCTCTTCATAAATGTATGTAATTCTAGACAACAGCCCTACTGGTTAACAGTATTCTGATTTTTACTTTTGAACTTGGAAATTGGTGTAAGCAAACCAAATCAGTGCAGCTTCAAAAAACTGTGAAGTTTTAATTTGGTGGGATCCAGGCTTCTTCTGGCCATAATCTCTGAGCACCAGGCGGCGCCGCTTGCCGCCCAGAGCGCGCGAGGCCCCAGCGGTCGGCCCTGGCCGCCGCCTCACGGCCGCTACCTCAGCGCTCGCCCCGCAGGCGGCGCTCGTCAGTGCCTCAGAGCGAAGGGCCGAGCCCGCCCGCCCCCCGCCGCGAAGCGCTCGGTTTGCCTTGCGGCGCTTCGCTCGTGTCGGGGAGCGCGGGCTGGGAACGAGGGGAGAAGGACGAGAGCGAGCGGACTCGGTGGCCGGCTCTCGTGGCGCTGTGCTTCTGGGTAGTTTTCTGGTTTTCAGCAGCAGTAAAATGTCCCTGCTCGTCGGCTTTTGAAATGCGGAGCTTTAAAAATAACACAACCGACACATTAAGGACAGTAGTCAGCAGGTCATGCGAGGCTCAGGGATCTGGCGGATACCTGCTCAGGACTGTGAATTTCTGCTGAAAAAGGAATGCTGTGCAGGTTGGGCTGCAGAAGTAGGCGCCTGTACGAAAGTGCATAAACACTGTGGATCGGCAGTTTTCACAGGACAGCAAGCTGCACCAAGCTGGTAGCAGAAATGCTGCTGAAGAATACTAAGCTGCAGTGTTTCCGTGTTGAAGTCTGGTTGTGGCAAGCTCACGAGGAAATCGATGCATGCTGCAAGAATGTGGCAGGCAGTCGAGTCCTGTAGTTACACCAGACATACATTCTCCTCAGAAATGTTATGTAATCTGAAGGTCTTTATTTATTTATACATCCGTGTGAATGACATCAGATGGCATGTAACAGACGTATTCCAATCCTTTGTTCATCACATCGTTCGTTTTAAAGCTGCTTGAAGTTTCCCAGGTTGTGCCTTATGGAAGCAGCTGGTGCACTGTGTGAAGTGGCAAACGGGCTGGAACTGGATGAGGTGCAGCTCAGCTTCCTTGCTCCGTGCTCCTGCCTTGAATGCTGGCACTGGAACTTCTTCTCGAGGATCATCAGGTACTTCTCCATTAACAGTAGCTGGGCCTGCATCTGCCAGAGCTGGTTCTGATAATTTCTGGTGTCCCTTTGCAGGCAGTCTGTTTGCGTGGAAGCCGAGTCCATTCGTCCCGTTGCCTGGAAGTGAACACAGCATGAGCAGAGAGAAAGGGAAGCAGGCTCGTTTTGCAGAGAATTATCGTGCAGGGCTCGGCTTCCTCTGGAGGCAGGCCAGCCCCACAGGACTGCTCAGTGCAGCACGTGGGGCTCACAGCACCTCCAAGCCCCGCGTTGCACAGGGGGCTCCCAGCGGGTGTCAGACCTGCGAATGAGCGAGTCCCTTTGGGGGAGGTGATGGACTTTCTGGGGTCTGCTTTCCTTGGAAGCCTTCACGGACAAGGTGCCTGTGGTTCCCTGCTCCCCACCAGCAGCCCCCTTCCTGTGCGATGCGCCCCAATCACTCACCTGTTGCCAAGTTCTTCTTACTTTTCCCCAGAGGCTGCGGGCAATCGTCAGCAGGCAGAGAAGGCAGACATCTGCCAGGCCATAAGTAAGGAGCCAGGTTTTCCCCGCTTGGTCCAGGTAGTCCCAAAGGAGGCCCAGAGGGTAGGGCAAACTGAGGGCCTTCAGCTCGGTGCACAAGGGCTGCTGCTTCGGGCCCTGAGTTACGCCAGCCCTGCTGACCCCATATTGCAGCCATCTGGGGCAGGAAGACAGGCCTAGCCAACAGGGCCCGTTCGAAGGCTGTTCCGCAGCAAGAACAGGCTGCTTCTTCTCGGGAAGGACCATCTTCCTGACCCTTTCCCAGATCCTCACTGGGTGTTCGGAAAGGCCAGGGCAGGAGGGCCCCTTGAAGGCCTTCTGCTCCGTGCCCAGGGGCTGCTGCTTCGGGCCCTGCGTTACACCAGCCCTGCTGACCCCATATTGGAGCCATTTGGGGCAGGAAGACAGGCCTAGCCAACAGACCCTTTTCGAAGGCTGTTCCGCAGCGATAACAGGCTGCTTCTTCTTGGGAAGGACCATCTTGCTGACCCTTTCCCAGATCTGAATGGGGTACGCTGAAAGTCCCGACCAGAAGGACCCCTTGGAGGCCTTCTGCTCTGTGCCCAGGGGCTGCTGCTTCGGGTCTTCTGTAATGCTGTCTCTACTGACCCTGGAGCAGCCCTGTTCGTGGCAGGGCCAAAGGCCAAGCCAACAGAGCCAGCTGGAGGTCTGGCCCTGGATGTCAACGGGCAGCGGCACCTCAAGGACCAGCTTTATGTCCGTGTTCCAGGTCCAGCCATGAAAGCTGGAAGGGCCAAGGACATCTCTGAGAAATGGAAGTGAGGACAGAGCCGCAATCAGGGAGAAAATCAGGGTGATTTTCATCCTGTTCTCTCCCAGGAAACAATCCCAACACACAAAGTGGCTGCTACCTTGAGCGGAGCTCCAGAGGTAACCACCAGTACAGAGCGAGTGCCCTGCGTATCTGTGCTGTGGGAGGCGGCCAACGTGACTCTACAGAGACTGATGTCAAGCCCGGCTCTGTGATGTCACAAAGGAGACTGTGACAGAGCTGGGGAGGACGCAGTGACGTCGACTTGGAAGCCTGCTGCCACTATTGCAGTCCCCAGCACAGGATTGTCTGTCCAGCAGGATAGGAGGCCCAACCCCTCATGTTTTGGGCATTGCCCTGTACTTGTCAGCAAGAAGGAGCGGTGGCCAGAGCCACATCCAGGCTCCTTTCAGCGCTGGCTCCGTTAGGGAAATTGTGACACAACTTGCATCCAAAAGCCGTTAGGGGCAGTGTGGAAGCCCCACTCTTGAGAGGAAAGCCAAAAGTTGAACAGTTGTTATGGTTTTGTGAATTTTTTTGTTGTCGGTATTCCACATCGTAACATCATGTAAAACAATGGAGCGAAAGAGTTAATGTTCTGGTTCTGTGGACTGCCTTTTCTGGGCATTTTGGGTTCTTGGAGAGGAGGGAAGGAGTGGCATTCCTGGAAGACTTTGCACGCAGAGGAAGAAAGATGGAGCTGCTGGCAGGACACAGCCGCTCTCCCTCTGGCTGCCTCGCTCTCTGGGTTCACCACAGAGAAAAGCACGTGGTTCCCAACCTGCAGTCTTCTAGCATAAGACCTCATGTTTGAACACTCTTTTCTCAATTTGTTTGACTTTTTTGGATTTAGTAAATTACCGTTCCTCCTCAGATCGTCGCTGTTGGTTTTTTTTTAGTCCCACCTACTATCTCCCTATCCTTGCCCCTCTCTCCCTCTCCTGGAGCACACGGCCTGCAAGTGCCTTGCCTCATTAGTCACAGGGCTGGGGACGGCCAGGCTGTGCTGCGAAAGATGGACTAGTTTTATTTCCCCCCCCTCTTTTGTCTCCTTCCAGGCCTGTGCCCCTGTCACAGACAGAAGCCTAGGGATAACTCCTGTCCAGTTCACTCAGCACCGCATAACTTCAAGCCCTTAACACAACTCTGTGGCCCAAAGCACAGCCAAAACGACTGCCTTGGAATGTTTTTCTGCTCCACGGAGCTCCTACAGAACTGCTCCCAGACACTGGCGTGCTGGGGAAGACACATGTCCCTGCAGACTTCCCAGGGTGTCCTGGAGGACTTCAAAGGATCCCAGTATACCCTAGGGCAAACCAGAATGCACCCACAGCTCCGTGGTGTGTTCTAGGGCACCCTAGAGGCTCCTCTGAACAGCCCAGTGTGACCTACTGCAGGCCAGAGTGTTCCCAGAGCTTTTCCATAGGCCCTGGGGTGTCCTAGAGGCTACCCTGTGTGCCCATTAGGACACAGGACCTCCCGGTGTACTCTAGGGCACGCTAGATTGTCTCATTGGAACATGGGCATCCTATCAGGATGTGCTCTCTTCTTCTGGGTCGCAGTATCTGTGGGTACCTCACAACCATAGGCACCTCTTTTCTCCCAGCCCAGCTCCCTCTCTTCTCCCCAGGCCCATGCCCCCAAACCCGCACACAGCAGCTCTCTTTTGCAGCACCACCTTCTGTGCTGCAGCTACTCCAGACCCCTTGGCACCAAAACAACACGTGCTCCAACAAGGATGCCATTTCTTCATCTCAGAGCAAGTTGTGACCATGAGCAATGTCCTTTCTCTGGCAGTCTCCCATGGAAGCTGACACCATCTGTCCCGTTCTCTGGAAGTGAACAGAGGACGATCACAGTGAGAGGGAAAAAGGCTCGTCTTACAGAGCATTATTTTTCAGGGCTTGGCTTCCTTTGGAGGTAGTTCACCCTGATAGGACTGCTCAGTGCAGCACATGGGGCTCGCATCACCTCCAGCAGGCCGCATGTGGCACAGAGGGCTTCCAGGGGGTGTCAGCTGTGCAGATGAGCAAGTCTCTTGGGGAGAGGTAATGGACTTAATGGACTTCTGGGGTCTGCTTTCCCTGGAGGTGTTCACGGACAAGGTCTCTGTGATTCCCTGCTCCCCACCAGCAGCCCCCTTCCTGTGCCATGCATCTCAATCACTTACCTGTTCCCAAGGTCTTTGTGCTTTTCTCCAGAGGCCATGAGCAACTCTCAGCAGGCAGTGAAGAGGATTAACAATCCCTCTGGAATGAGCAGGGCTAATGCTCCTATGGCAGTGTAGTCCCAGAGTTTGTCCAGGGGGCAGGGCAAGCTGAAAGCCTTCTTTTGTGTGTCCAGGGGCTGTTGCTTCAGGCCCTCTGCAGTGACGAATCTGCCAACCCTGTACTGGATCCTTCTGGGGCAAGGGGAAAGCACAAGTCTACAGGGCCAGTTGGAGTCCTGGTGCTCGGGGAGACTGGCAGCTGCTCCTCAGAAAGGACCATCTTCCTGACCCTTTCCCAGATCCTCACTGGGTGTGTTGAAAGGGCCCCTTGAAGGCCTTCTGCTCCTTGCCCTGGTGCTGCTGCTTCGGGCTCTCTGTAAATCCAGCCCTGCTGATCCTGTACTGAAACCACCTGGGGCGGAAGGAAAGGCCAAGCCTACAGGGCCAGTTGTAGTCCTGGTGCTTGGGGATAACTGGCCACAGACAGAGGGTGGTGATTAATGGCTCTACATCCAGGTGGAGGCTGGTAACAAACGGCATCTCCCAGGGGTCTGTCTTGGGACCAGGGCTCTTTAACGTCTTTACCAATGACATCGACAATGGAATTGAGTGCACCCTCAGCAAGTTTGCAGAAGACACTAAGCTGAGTGGTGCAGTTGACACAATGGAAGGAAGGGATGCCATTCAGAGGGACCTCAACAGACTTGAAAGGTGAGCCCGAGTGAATCTAATGAGGTTCAACACAGCAAAGTGCAAGGTTTTGCATTTGGGCCGGAGGAATCCCAGCCATCTATACAGACTGGAAGGAGCAGTCCTTGAGAGCAGCCCTGCAGAGAAGAACCTGGGGATCCTGATGGATGAAAAGCTTAACGGGAGACAGCAGCGTGCTCTTGCAGCTCGGAGTGCAAATGGTATCCTGGCTCCATCAGAAAAGAGATGGCCAGCACAGACAGGGAGGTGATTGTCCCCCTCTCCTCTGCTCTTGTGAGACCCCATCTGGAGTACTGTGTCCAGGTTGGGAGCCCCCAGTACAAGAAAGACAGAGAGCTGTTGGAGAAACTGTTGGTCCAGAGGAGAGCTGCAAAGATGATCCGGGGACTGAAGCACCTCTGAGAGAACTGGGCTTATTCAACCTGGAGGAAAGAAGCCTGTGGGGTCTGCACTTCATAATTATCTGAAGACAAGTGAAAATTTACTGTGGAAGATTATAAAGAACAGCCCATTTCTAGCACGATCAGAAAAACACACTTCTTTATGGGAAGCAATACCCGTCTTGAAAAATCTATGAAGGCTCTCCCAAGAAACTAGGCACATGGCTGTTAACCACTATATAATATTGGAAGAAATTAGTAAGTGAAACCAGAAAAGCCTCCACTGAAGACAAAATATAAATTAAGATTATAAATTATATTATATTATAATAGAGAACACAGGCTGCCCAGAGAGGTTGTGGATGCCCCGTCCCTGGAGGTGTTCAAGGCCAGACTGGATGGGGCTCTGGGCAGCCTGGTCTAGTATTAAATGGGGAGGTTGGTGGCCCTGCATGTGGCAGGGGGCTTGGAGCTTCATGATCCTTGAGGTCCCTTCCAACCTGGGCCATTCTGTGATTCTGTGAGAATGTGAGATCACAACTGGCCCGTCATTAGAGCCATGGTTAGATCCAGATATCACTCTGTGAAGTCATTAGCAAGGTCACCAGTAACACTGCACAGCTGAGGAGGACATCTGAAGAGCTGGTGAGAAGTGACAAGGAGGAGAAATGTGGAAAATGTCCCCTACTGCCTTTTTACCTCCCACCCCCCAAGAGTAGCTTTGCCTAAGCTCTTTAAGCCTTACTGATGTCTGCTAAGATATGCTTGTAAGGATACCCAGGGAGGTTAAATGCCTGAGCAGGCAAATCAGGATATCACTGCCCAGTCATCTATAATGGATCTGGAACTCTCTCAATGGCCTGTGCTACAATACAGTATATGGGGACACTCTCATTTCAGGTACAGATTCCATGAAGTCTTTCTTTACATTTGGATACCCCTATTACAATTTGGTAAGCTAAATAAGGACACAAATCTGTGCTAATGCTAGTCCTGCAGTAAGAAAATACTGGGCAAAAAATAGGAAAACCAGACCCATTTACACATAAGAATGATTTAAGTTTCCACTGTTCCAAAGAAGGTATGTTTCACATCATAATTTTTCTGTCATTAAAATTATTTTTTTTGGAGGAGGGAGATTTTTGTTTACAGCAAGCTGACTTTATTGGATTGCTGGTCAAAATTAATTACTTATTGATATGGCAAAAACATGTAGTCTTGTTGCGGATTCAGAGGTTTGCAATTGGCTGCATCTAAATCCAAGAAGAAAAAGAATAATAAAAACAAATCACCAATAAGACTGCTATTATCACTGTCATACAAAAACCTGCCGTGGTGCAGATGTGGAAGCGCACACCATAGAAATGTTAAGATATTGCAGTTTGCTGTAGGGTGACAAATGTCCCTTACATATGTCTGCTGAATGGACGTATTACGTGATTCTTCTAGAATCCCTTAAGTTTGCTTTCCTTTTTCCAAAGCTTCTGCAGAAAATGCAAATGTACAATAATCTGAGGTTTTGGACAGTGTCACAGACACCTCTGTGTAAAACTTGGAGCCTGAACTTGCATACCTAACTAACACTGTCAGCTCCATACCCCTGCAAATAATTCCACTGAAAGTAATGAAATTAGTGGAATGAGTAAACCTTAAAGACCTGGCTCCTGATTTTAGGTTTTAACCTTCAGTGTACGTTTGAAAGCTTGCTGCTCTGTGACAAACCCCACGGAGTTTGCTGTGAGGACAGAGAATTGTAACAAGAGTAACCT